AGAGTGTTCCTTATTCCTTCCTCTAAAATCTGGTAATGAAGATGACAATGATGTGATGATATTATTGGCTCTTCTCTGTAGGCAAAATCTATGGAGGCAAAACTGCCTCAGAGTACATTTCCCCCCTCTTCTATTTCTGTAATCTACATTTTGGGCAACTCGGCTTCAACATTATGATTTTCTTCTGGGTCTTCAATCAGATAGCTGCCAAAAATCACAGGTAAGGCCCTCTCTTCGGTCTTGCTAGGGTTTCATCTCCAAGACTCAGGAAATGGCATGGGCATTACATGATGCCAGTTTTGTTTTTTTTACTCTATTATTTTATAGCTCAGTAAAATGGGTGGAGCAAGAAAAAACATACAGATTTGGGAGCTAGATGATATTCTTTTGTTAGCAAGAGGTGGTTTCTTGTAGTCGTCGCCTTTGAGTCTTTGGGTATACCAAGAGTCTTCATACCACAAGTCTTTTTTTTTTTTTTAAACCCATGAACTACTTTTGTGTCATGGTCCTCTAGTTCAGCTATGGATGTAGACTTCTCTATATCAGGGATTCATTCATTCATTCATTCACTAATTTAAGAAATATTTATCGTATGTCTCCTAGGCATTGGGAATGCAGCACTAAAGACAAAGACAAATCCCTGCCTTCTTGAAATAACAGTCTAGAGGGTGGTGATAATCCTGAAATTATAATCCTGATAATCCTGAAAATGTTCAACCAGTACCCATCAGGGACCGACCACCACTGTTCTGATGAAATCTGTACTAGAAACCACTTGCCACAGAAGGACGATGTCATAGTCTTGGGTCTTTAAGACAATTTGTTCTTTATGATTATGATCATCACTATGCTTTAACAATTGTTTTGAAGGCATTTTAAAATGATCATTCTTGGACTGATGTCTGGCTAAGCTATTATACTTAGCTGTGAAAGAATGGGTAAGTTGCTTAACCTTTCTAACCCTTAAGAATACAAAATCTGCCTTTTAGGGTTGTCATTAGTTAAGAGAATTTAAGTAAGGTTCCCTGACATGCCTGGAACATAGGAGACTTTTAGAAAAATCTTTGTTTCCATTCCCTGTCTTCACTTAGGTTGCCAAAGTAACCACAGATGCCGTAATTATATGTACCACTTGTGAGAGCCTATTGCAGCCCAGAAAACTTGCTAAGACCTTTGCATGTGTTGCTATACTTAATCCATATGACAATATCAGCAAGAAGAGGCTATAGCACATAATGAGTCCCATTATAGATACGCATCTGTACCTAATGAGTTTAAGAACTGATATTCTTCCTAAGTCTAATGTCAATGCTCGTGTGTGTTCTTAACTCTATACTATACAATACAATACTACAATATATATACTATACTACTGTACTATATATGCTATACTTTATATGCTATGTATCCTATACATACTATACCTTGTATAGTATACTATGTATACTATATATGTAATGCATATATACTACATTATATATGATATATGCTATGTATATGATACTATATATGTAATGCTATGTACACTATGCTATATATTGGGTTGTCAGAAGAGTTATGACACATTTTTGCATAGAAAAAATATGTCATGATTTTTCTGAGGACCCAATATATTATACTACACTATGTATGCTAAACTATACTTTATATACTATACTACACTATATGTACTAAACCATACTATATACTATACTATGTATACTATACTATATATGTTGTACTAAACACTATGCACAGTATGTACACTGTACTATACTTACTCACTGCTGTACCATGATTATTATTGGTTTGGGAAGAGTCTCTGGCCTACAGCTTTGTTGCTGTTGAGTCTTCTTGACTTGCATTGTACCTGGGATGGCCACAGGGACTTTGGCAGTCTTGCAGTCCCTCAAGGGAAACTATTTCAAACTTTTTTTAAAACTACAATCTACATTAAAAAATTTTATCCAGCTTATACACATACACACATACATCCATGCACAAAAAGCAACCATGGGGGCTTGTATTTAGAAGAAAATATTTGTCATAAAACAATATTTACTCTCTTATATAATACATCCTGCTTATATGTTATTCCATTTAAACAATTCTGGTCATGACCCACTATGTCTGCTGACCACTGAAATAACTTCATGGTCCAGTGGGTCAGTACTCACACTGTAGAAACATTGCTCTACAGAGTCCAGGGCTTGGGGAAGTTCTGGGAAATAATGACTTTATTAGCTTCCAATGTGAAGATTTCTTTGTTTTCATTTTTCTTTATTTCTTTTTTCCTTTTTTTCTGGCTTTTTGTCATTACAAAAGATTAAAGATCAAACTGGGATCTCAAAGTAAAAGTCTGGAAGCACAGACTCAGCCTATCATTCTAGCAATCCTCATGGATAATTCTAAGACTATGCCTTGGATAAGTTTAGGCCTTCCTTCCTGCCTTCCTTTCTAAAGAAGTAATCTATCATTATTATTTTTAAATTTTAATTTAATTATTTATAGGGCATGTGTGCTGGCCAAAGAGACAGAGAAACCGAAAGCAAGAAATCACCCCCCAGAGAGGATGGCCATGCCACCATCCCTTCTCCCTTCTTCTCTTGGGATTTTGGGCACACACACATGTGCCCTGTGTGAGTTTTAGGCCGCTGGGTCCAAGACTCAAACCATGGTTGACTACGTGGGAGTCCAGTGACATAACCATTATGCCACCTGCTGGTCCCACATTAATTCTTTTTTTTTTTTTTTTTCTTTTTTGGAGAGGTTTTTTGCTATAGGATGTGTGTGCTTGCCAGACAGAGACAGAGAAACAGAAAGTGAGAAATCACCCGCCCCCCCCCATGGGGGATAGCCACGCTGCAATCCCTTCTCCTCCATTCTTCTCTCAGGATCTCGGGCATGCACGCACATGTGTCTGGCATCACTTTCAAGTCACCAGGTCCAGAACTCAGATGCAGTTGACCATGTGGGAGTCCAGCAATATAACCGCTATGCCATCTGCTGGCTGCTAGAAGTATATTTGTAAGAACTAGTTAACTTATTTTCATTTCTCTCTATATAATGCTACTTTTTTTTTTTTATGGCTTTCATGGTATTGCCTTTTTTTTTTTCTTTCCTTACGATAGGTAGAGAAAGAGAGAAGGAGGTACAGAAAGAGAGAGAAAGATCTTTTTGACAGGCCCTTGCCATATGTGATCTTTTCTGTTCCAGTCTTCTAGTTAGCTAGGACCACAGGCATTTGCTACCACACCTGACTTGTGTAGGTTAGTCCAGGAATGGAACTTGAGCTTCCCATGTGGCCCTAGCTACCATGTAGTAGTGTTGTACCATTCGCATCACTGTAGCTGGGCCATCATATTTCCTAGTACTTTCTCAGTCACAATGTTAGTTAATGTATAGACATGAGAAATGAACTCTATCACATAAGACAAACAGGTAGCAGTTACCATGTGGGTAACTGGGCCCTCATGGGGACGGTCCTGGGTTCATGTCCTAGGACCTACTTGGTGTGCCAACTGGGACTGGAGTGGATTGTGGCGGGAAGGCCCTGCTGGGCGTGCCTGTCTCTGTCTCTCTGTTGTGAAATAAATAAATAACAACAAAAATTATTTTAAAAGACCCCAAAACCACTCCCCTGCAGCCAGTGAGGTGCATCTTGCGGGGTCTGGGAAAAACTAGTTTAGTGCACTCTTCCCACTCTGGCCCCCAAAGCTCAGCTCAGCTCCTGCAGATGCAGCCAGGAAGCCCATTCATCCTGAGCGAGACTTTGATGGGCATTTGGAAAAGACAAAAACCAACAAAAAGACACAAGGTTCTATCTAAGGATGAAATTAAAAGGTCAACATAGAGTTACGACTAAGTAGTTTTGAAAAACTTCATATTCAATCAAGGTTATGAAAACCTTGAATATAAATTCTGGAAGTGAATTATGCTATCTATAACCCTATAACCCATGCATTAAAATCTAGATCATTGGCAATCTGGCTGGATTAACGGGTTTGTGATGTCTGAAGAAGTGTGTCACACTGTGGTGGGGCAGGGCTGGTCGGTACACTTGCCTGGCTGAACCCGCCCTCCACTCTTCTCTTGTTTTCAGTCCACACTCACTAAGCACTCAGATGATTAACCCAGTCTCCTGGATGCTCTGCTAGGAGATGCAGTAACATAATACGAGTCTTGCTTTTAACACGTTGGACCTGAATACTGTTCAATCCCACGGAGATAATGCTTCCCACTGCTGAGGTGAGACGCTTCTGAGCACTCCTCTCAATGCCTTGTCAATTCTGAGGCTTTCCTTTGGAGGGAACAGGCTTTAGTCCTGGTCCTATGTGACTGCTCCGAGCACCATTTGCTCAAATCATTTTGGGCGGTTCTTTCCCAGGTGTTGGCAGATCCTCACAGGTTTGCACTGGCCAATATCCAGTTGAATACTTGGGGGTCCTCTCTGCAGCTCATTCTCCTGGTGCTCTGTCCTGTGAACTCTGGCTATCATGCCTCTCTCAGGCCTGTCAGTTCTTTCTCAGCTCAGAGAATCCCCAGGGCTGGATTTCCCCTGCCTGCTCCCAGGCCTGGAAATTCTCTCAAGGCAGTATGCTGGGGCAATCACGGGGCTCATCTAATTTGTTTCTCATCTTTCAGGTATTATTAATACTAGTCTCATTGTCCAGTGTCTTGGTAACTGTTGCTTCCTATATTTTGCTCATGTGTTGTGATTTCTAATGGGAGAGCAGATCTGGTCCCTGTTGCTCCCTGTTGACTAGAACTGGAAGTCTTAACCTTCCAGATACTTCGAATAGTAGCTGTGAGGGTCATAGGCATATAACAGTTCTCCTGTTCTGCTTCTCTCTCTAAATTTCTTTCTGATTCTATCACATCGAATTCTTTCTATTTCTCCTTATATATGTTTCACTTGTTCATCTAATATCAATTAAGTAGCCACTATGTGTAGACACTGTGATGGGTGTAGGTATACAGTAGTGACTAAATAACTTTCACAATTTATAATCTCTCCTGAGTTTGGCTAGCATAAAACAGCCCTTGAGAATAAGGCACAGACAGTTGGCGTTTCTAGACCTGTGAAGCTCAAGTGGAATCTGGAGCATGCTGCCTCCCATTTCCAAAGAACTACTTGAACTCTTTCTGAGGTCTTCATTTTCTTTTTCTAACTGCAGTACCAATTCTGTCTTCATTTGTGAAAGTAAAGTTTCATTCATTTAGCATCAGTAAGTCTTATTATTTTAATAATGAATCGTATTTCAAAGAATAAAGTATAGGAAATATTAAAATTGTCTGTTTCTGATTATGGTAACGATTGTAACTAAAGTGTCAGTACCAAGCAATACACACACCACACACACGTGCACATGCATGCGTGCATGCACGCACACACACACACACACACCCCTCTGATATTTTTTTCTGAAGTAAACTTTGATGACATACAATGAAGCAGTTTATGATGTATGAAATCGTTACAATCAGGTGATGGCTTTCCTCACAAATCCTAAGATAAATATCTATAAAATGAATGTTTTCATAAATTGCGCTGAAAAACTAGTGCTATCCATCTGGCAAAGATACGCTTAACTCCAAGTTATACTTAAAAAGCCAACGAACTTACCATATGTCTCAATAATTTTAAGGTAAAATCTACTTGAAACAAGATGTCTGGGACACATACACCATATCCAGTTGCCCAGAAGTTCATCTGTTAACCATTGTTCTGGCAGGGAGCAGTGCTTTTTTTTTTAAAGTAGAGACTAACTTGGTTTTGTAAAGCTCATTTTTTTTTTTCTGTATAAGATTGTTTAACATTGATAAACCTTAATCCTCTTAAAGTTTAAATTTTCTCCGACATATAGTAATAAGAAAAAAATTCCAGGAAAAACTCTAATTGTAATTTACTTTATTTATACATGTAAAACACTGAACAAATGAATATATTATTCCATGGAGACAAAGTGACTTTCCTTTTGAACAGGAACTCTGCTCTGTTTGTTTACTTGGGCAATCTTTTATCAAGTGAAGCCATTTCATAATTCAATTCAGCCCTTTTGTGTACTTTGGTGAACTTTTTCCAGATTCCCTACTGCAACTTAGATCCTTATAATGAAACTTGTGTTGAAATAATAATATAAAATCACAAAACTATGGCAACAAAGAGGATGCATTTATAGAGAAAGTATGTTTTAAGAATTTTAGACCTAGATGAAATACTATTGAGTTACTATTTTTGACATAATGTTAAAGTTTGATGTTTGTGTTTTGTGTTAGTTATTTTATCATAATTTTTAATCTGGTCACCCTCAACTTAAGAAAAGGGCACAAACTATTCCTTTTTGTCTTTCGGATTGTTAGGAATACAAATTGAATAACATATGTGAAAAAAGCTTGAGGTCACTAGTTGGATAGGAAATCTTTTTTTTTTTTTAAGAATTATTTTATTTAACCTAATTCATTTATTTATTTTCATTTGACCAGAGAGAGACAGAGTGAGAGAGATAGAGAAGGTGAGAAAGCAAGTTGCCAGGTCCAGGATTCAAACTATGGTTACCCATGTGGGAGTACAACACCCTTAACCACCATGCCATCTCTGGCCCTGGATAGGAGGTCTTTTAGTCAAGTTTATGTCATGATTTTTAAGAATAGACCAAGCTGTATTTAATGGTGTCAGTGGTGTGAGGAAGGGAGTAAGGCCACCTAGAGTCACTGCAATCCAGTCGTCAGTTTGAGAGAACGTAATAAAAAGTGATCAGTTTTAGTTCTTTTACTTCTGGAGGTGCTGCCAGTTCTCTCTGTTCCTGTTTGGTACAGAATCAGCAAGTACTACATAGATCTCCCTAGCCATAGGTTAAAGAAATAGGAATCAGGGTAGTAGAAGTAATAATTTTTTAGAATTAGAATGGAGAATTTTAACAGAGGAGTCTAAGGGGGAAAATGAAGTTGACATGCTAAATAAATGTGCTATATGAGAATCATATACAAAGAAATATAGTGTATTAATTCACTCTGTTCTTAATTTAGGGAAAAGGGTTTTTTTAAATCTCTCTTCTCCTTCTTCCTCTCTGTGATAATTTTTGCCCTAGATGAAATTTTTAAATGGCTTTGAAGAAATGTCCAACCAATTTTGTGGCTGCTGTGGTTAGATTACATGCGTTTTACTCACTATGCTTTTTTTTTTAAGTATAATTTCCCCATTAAAAGAGAGTGCTTTTGGGACTAGCAGTCGACGTATTGGTTATGTTGCTGCACTCCCATGTAGTTGACCACGATTTGAGTCCCAGAACCAGTGACTTAAACTCACGCTGGGTGCGTGTGCACACGTGCCCAAGATCCCGAGGGGAGAATGGAGGAGAAAGGGTTTGCGGCATGGCCATCCCCCCTGGACGTGATTTCTCACTTTCTATCTCTATATATATATATGATATTCACCAAGTCTAATTATAAGAAGATTGTTTTATATAATTTCTGCATTAAAATTTTTAGAGTTTGATGTTGAATTCATTTTAATGACCCATAGTTTTTTGTGGATATTTTACTGCTGAAGCTATTAATGTACGTGGTGGGAAGGCAAACAATGCTTACCTTCACTGCTCTTTTTGGAGTTTCAGCCAAGATGGGTGGCAGAATTCCCTTGTAAAAACCAAACAACCTGTTGGAGAAAAAAAGATATTATGTAAATATAAGTAAGAAAATTAGGAAACAGGTAATGCTCCCTTTGTTTATGAATAAAACAACTAATGCTGAAATATTCCTAAGTATTTGATATTGCACATAAATCATGAAGTCTTTCCTTGTTTTAACTCTAAAGTGAAGACATGAATTCTACATTTATTTTTTTTAATCATTATGATATTCGGAAGATGAGCAGAAATTCTGAGGCTGGAATTCCTTTGATAAGTTCCTAAACAGTACCATGAGTTAGATGTTAAAGATGCAGTTGGTGTAATGGTTATGTCATTGGACTCCCATGTAGTCAACCATAGCTTGAGTCCTGGACCTGGTGACTTAAACTCACACCATGCACGTGTGCGTGTGTGCCCAAGATCCTGAGAGGAGAATGGAGGAGAAGGGATTGTGGCGTGGCCATCCCCTCTGGGGAATGATTTCTTACTTTTTGTCTCTCTGTCTCTCCCTGTCTTTCTGGCGAATGCACGTGCCCTATAGCAAAAACCTCTCAAAAAAAAGGGGGACCAGCAGTTAGCATAATGGCTATGTCACTGAACTCCCATGTAGTTGACCGCAGTTCGAGTCCTGGACCTGGTGGCTTAAACTCACATGGGGCCTGTGTGCGTGTGTGTCCAGGATCCCAAGAGGAGAGTGGAGGAGAAGGGATTGTGTCATGGCTATCCCCCCTGGGTGGTGATTTCTCACTTTCTGTCTCTCTGTCTTTCTGGTTAGCACACGAGTCCTATAGCAAAAAAAAAAAAAAAAAAAAAAAAAAAAAAGTAAAACCTTTCAAGAAAAAAAAAATGAAGTCGACCTTCTGCTCTTAGGAATCTTGAGTTTATTTTCTCAGTATGTGGTAGGTAGCTTCAAGCTAATTGGAGCCTTGAATTTCCTCCCTTGTAGTAACCAAATGAGGTTAAGGTTGTTCAGCCCATTAGACTGAACCTTTCTGAGACTAACAAGGTGATGACACCTTCAGTTTTAGCTTTACTAACACATGGGAGCTAGTAAGCTCTGTAGCTATAGAAATAGGACTCCCAGCCCTGTCTTGAATTCATCATACTTTTTAAACTTCCTTAATGGAGGTAGAAGGTCAGGGAGGTCTGGTTGGAGATATATGTTGTCGATAGAAAAATGCCAAGCTCCCTTGTTGATATGGAATCTCATGGGGCATGAGCCAGCTATCATTGTCAATGTTGAGGGGCCCATAGTAACATATTAAAAAGTTTTTAGATTAAAAAAATGACATATCCATATGATTAGATTAAAAGCCACTTTTATAAAATTAGACTTTAGGATTCAAAATGTTAAATTGCTCTGGGATCTTCATATATATGCCATGTACTTACTTTCAACTGCAAACATGTAACAGAAGAGAATATTCTGCATACTTCTCTTGAGGTAATCTGTTTTCCTGAGGAGTCTGTAAGTGGCTACAAATTAGGACTGGGCTCAGTGTATATTTTAGGACACTCATTTAACATAGCATGGGGTTTCTGTGATTGACCTGGAGCTTCACTCTAGCTCTTTTACATTAGATCTCTGCCTCCAGCTGTGGTGCTGAAGCAGTAGTCAAGAGTGTGTCTTTCTCAATTCCCTGGCCTACACAGCATCCTTCTGGAAGGGAGCAAAGGACTTATCTCTCAGCCTTCTAACTTGATAGCTACTTGAGGGCAGGGTGGCCCTTGGGGTTTCTTCCTCTAGAGTTCTTTTTTGTATTTATAACCAGGATGGAGATATTTATTAAACTTAAGAATTTATGAAAGAAAAGAAAGGAATCAAATGACCCCCTAATATGGACTTAACCTACCTACTATTTTGCACTTAATCGATGGTGATAGCACTATGAATATAAAGCAAAGGAATGTGATGTGGAGAGTTTTAGGGATTCACGAGTTGTCCCCGTTCTTTTTTCCACTCCCAGTTTAGCTACTGGTGTCTGAAATTCTCACAATGCAACTTTCGTCTAGACTCTTGTAAAATGTAAATACTTTAAAAAATAATTTAAATATCACTATAGGGGGTCAACAGGTGGTGTGGTAGTTAAGGTGCCAGATTCCCACATGGTCTACTGCAGTTTGAGTCTCAAACCTGGAGGCTTGAAAATCACAATAAATAGGTAAATATATAAATGTTTAAAAATAAATAAATGCCATTATCAATTATTATTTAATTTTCAGCACGAGAGTGACTAAGTATATTCTTGACTTTCCCAAAGAAAATACTTTCTTGAATAGCTATTCTGAATCTGTACTGAAAGAGATATTAGTTCTGATCTTTCCATGATGATTTTTCCACATTGGAAAGATTATCCCTGGTTATTAGGGGAAATTAAGAGGAACAGTTAAGTAAGGAAAGTTTTTAAAACAGAGTGTCAAGGATAAAGATGAACTTGAAATTGCATACATTAAAAAACTATTATAGGTGACCAGCAGTTAGCGTAATGGCTATGTCGCTGAACTCCCATGTAGCTGACCGCAGTTCATGTCCCGGACCTGGTGGCTTAAACTCACGCCGGGCACATGTGCGTGTGTGCCCAAGACCCTGAGAGGAGAATGGAGAAGAAGGAATTATGGCATGGCCATCCCCCTTGGGGGGTGATTTCTGTCTGTCTCTCTGTCTTTCTGGTGAACGCACACGCCTCATAGCAAAAAATCCTTCCCCCCTCAAAAAAGAAAAAAAGAGAACCAGCAGTTAGCGTAATGGCTATGTCGTTGGACTCCCACGTAGTCAACCATGGTTCGCGTCCCGGACCCGGTGGCTTAAAATTCACGCCGGGCACGTGTGCGTGCGTGCCCAAGATCTCGAGAGGAGAATGGAGGAGAAGGGATTGCGGCGTGACCATGCCCCCTGGGGGGGTGATTTCTCGCTTTCTGTCTCTATGTCTCTCTCTGTCTGTCTGGCGAGCACACGTGCCCTATAGTGAAAACCTCTCCAAAAAAAAAAAAAGAAAAAAAGAAAACTGTTATAGGAAAAACAGTTGCTTCACATGGAGAAGAGAGGTCTCAAGGAGAAACATGGCGAACATGATAGATCTCTTGAATAGTGAGTGTGTAGGAAAGACAGTAAGCTTTTCTGTTTGTTTCCAGGGAGTAGAACCGGGACTGACAGGTAAAAGCAACAGGGAAAGACACGCTTGGCCCAGTGGAGCTTAATATAAGAAAGACCTTCTGATAGAAAGGTCAAGCAAGCTTTTGTGAAAAGTGTGAGTTCCCCTTCGATATGTGATCAAGCTCTCATCCATTTGTTATGGATGCCAGAGATGGGATGTACACATCAATGAACAGGCTTAATGCCCTTCAAAGTTGGCCGATTTTAACCCTCAGATCCTGCTACTCTAAGAAAAAAGAATAAGATGATATGGACCAGTGCTTTTATGAAGACACAAACTCTTCTTTACTTCAGACTTTTGCCTCCAGTTTAGAATTGCTTCTCCAAAAGAGGACTGAAGTCTTAGAAGTAAAGCAGAAGGTCTTCATTTAAAAAATGATGGAGAAAATATTAAAAAGAAGTGTAAGGCAGGAGGGGAAAAAAAGGGGCAGCTAGGAGAAACCATAAGGATTTAATCTAAAAAGAGCTGGGAGGTCCAGAGCCCTCTGCTTCGTGTTGGTGATGCTTCATCCATGCACCCTCCCTCCTTCTCTCTGCTTGGCCCATTTCATGCAGTCATCCTGAGCTTTTTAATGGTGAGTAGACGATTTTAATGAGAAGGTTTCAGAGACTTCAGGCAGCCTTTGCTGGCAAATAGGAAGCTAGAAGCACACATTTCCTTGCACTGTTTTGACAGCATATCTATGCAGTAGAGGACATCTACAGAAGAGTCAGGCCAGCATTGCTGCTGCAGAGAACTGCCCTACCCAGTTGTTTTAAAATGCTAGAACCAACACATTAATACTATGTGATACAGTTTGTAAGCAGGAGTTGATTTGGATCAAATCAACTCAAATAGATCCAAATGGTATTCTGCTTCTTTGTCCCATTAATCTGATGCAAGCCAGACCTATCATAGTTTTCTCCAGGATTTTGGAACCGGAACTGAAAAGGTTAGTCTTACTCTATGTGGCTAAAGCTCTAAGATATAAAACTAGGATATTAATAACAGTCATATTTTCTATAATTTGTAAATTCAACCTGCAGTGATAAAAAAGGGAAGGAAACCACCATTTAGGGAGACACAGGGCAGTAAGGAGAAGTTCTAGTGCTGTGGGTGTGACCCTGTTTCCAGGATTTCTTTAAGCCTAGTTACATTCCAGATCTTGATTGTTAGCATTTACCTCTGCCTTTGAATCTATGGAATATCCAGTAAAAATAGATCGCATGAAATAGCCAATAGCAATAGATTCTCTTTTTTACTTAAATAAGTTTAAGTTGCAGTTATTACTTACAACACAGACTCCCATAGCCAAAGTGGCTGCTGCAGAACCTCCATGCCATGTCCTCTCATAGGAAGAACCTTTCGTCACTTAAGTTGGGCCCTTGGGCAAACCAGAACAGTTATATACAAAATGAGGGCAAAAGCATGTGGGTGGGGCCAGCAGGTGGCACCGAGGTTAAGGGTCTGGATCCCACATGGCTGAATTCAGTAAGAGTCTTGGACCTGGCAGCTTGAAAAGCACTCCAGGTGTGTGTATATGCATGCCCCAAATCTTGAGAGTAGAATGGCTGAGAGGAGATTGCGGCATGGCCATTCTTCCAGGGGGCTGATTTCTCATCCTCCCCCCTCCTTTTCTGGCAAGTGCACACAGATCCCATTAAAAAAAAAGCATATTAAAAAAAAGAGCATGTAGCAATGATTTGAGCTGATGAACTATTTTTCTTAGTTGACTAGATAGTTATTGAAAGTTTTCCTAATGCAAAATACGATATAGAGATTCTTTAAAAAAAGGAGTGGTAATGTTTTGTAAAGGATATAAATTTCTACAAATCTGATGTTCATACCCATATACATTATTCATTCTGCTTTCCTGTAGTCTTGGCTTGCTA